TTTAGTGAAAATAAGATGGAGCTTATACTATGGAAAATAAAACAAGCTTTCTGTGGGGATATCAGGAGCAAACCAGCTTGAGGTTTAATATTCATTGGTAATCAAAGGTTAACTATAAATCCATTAAAGTAATGGATAACTGATGATGGAGCATCCGAGGCAGAATGCTTCAGCCACGACTGTGGCGGTCCAAGGTAGACCTGATGGCCAGAATGCTAATAGGAAGAATGATGCACTAGCACTAGCTGGCCTCACTACCTACCTGCTGCATGGACATCTGAATCAGCTTTCTAGCATGTACCTCTTGTCCTTGTCCCATTGAGATAGTTCTGCATTCTGTAACATAGGAGAGGGATCACTATGATGAAACACAAATTTTATCACAGAATTGGGACAAAAAATCAATTTCTGAATGGCCATAGCCACCTTCCCTCCATGGCTTCTAAGAAAGCTCCTTGGGAATAAAACAGGGGTGGACTATGGTTGTGTTGATGAGAGAAATGGGTGGGGAGAAACTGGAGGCACCACGTGAAAAAGTGAGGGCAAAAGGAGAGAGGCAAAGGGCAAGGGGCTGGGCTTTTAGAGAGTTTGGGGGTGTTTGGAGATAAGGAGGAGAAAGAATGATGGTGGGAGAGGCAGCTACAATGCTATCACAGGTATTTAGAGGGAAAGAGTTTTGCCGTATGTTTTGATTAGAATCTTTCTTTGGTGGTTTCACGGATACTTCCATGAAAATGTAATTGGGTTTTTATTCCTTTAAGATGTCAGGTCAAGCAGTGCTTTCTGTCTGTTTTGGTTTTGTTTGCATGGCTGCCCATTTTCCGAGATAGGACTCAAGGCAATTCGGCCCCAGGAGGGCTGCATGGAGGGCTGCATTGAGGGCTGCATTGAGGGATAACTGCTCCTTAGACTAGATCACCACCTTGGAACTGAGTGTGAAGAGAAAGTGGAGGCCACTGTAAGATCAGAAGTGTGATAACAATTTGGGGGAGAATACGCTATTTAGGCTCATAATTTTTTTTTAAAGATTTTATTTATTTGACAGAGAGACACAGTGAGAGAGGGAACACAAGTGAGGGGTGGGAGAGGGAGAAGCAGGCTTCCCGCCCAGCAGGGAGCCCGATGCGGGGCTCAATCCCAGGACCCTGGGATCATGACCTGAGCCGAAGGCAGACGCTTAATGACTGAGCCACCCAGGTGCCCCCATTTAGGCTCATTATTGAATCTGACCTCCCAGGCAGAGAATCCACTTGCGCTGTGCCATATGAACTCACTAAATGAAGAAGTCTATGAATCATGCTTGTGAAACTGGAACTGGAAATTAACTTTTAAAAAAATTTTTTATTTAAATTCAACTTAGTTAACACAGAGTTACAGGGGTAGAATTTTGTGATTCATCGGTATAGAACACTCAGTGCTCATTACATCACGTGCACTCCTCAATGTCCATCACCCAGTTACCCCATCCCCCCACCCCTCTCCCCTCTGGCAACCCTCAGTTTGTTCCCTACAGTTAAAAGAGTTTCTTATGGTTTGCCTCCCTGTCTGCTTTCATCTTCTTTTATTTTTCTTTCCCTTCCCCTATGTTCATCCGTTTTTTTCTTAAATTCCACATGTAAGTGAAATCATATGGTATATGTGTTTTTCTGACTGACTTATTTCACTTAGCATAATGCCCTCTAATTCCATCCACATCATTGCAAGTGGCAAGATTTCATTCTTTTTGATGGCTGAGTAATATTCCAATGTATATATATACACATCTTCTTTATCCATTCATCTTTGAGAAGATATTTTATATGTCTGTTGGCCATCTGTATGTCTTCTTTGGAAAAATGTCTATTCATGTCTTCTGCCTGTTTTTTAAGTGGATTACTTGTCTTTTGGGTGTTGAGCTAAATAAGCTCTTTATAGATCTTGGATACTAGCCCTTTATCTGATATGTAATTTGCTCTTTCCATATTTTGGCTACTTTGGACAGTGCTGCTATAAACATTGGGGTGCATGTGCTCCTTTGAATCACTATGTTTGTATCCTTTGGATAAATACCCAGTAGTGCAATTGCTGGGTCATAGGGTAGTTCTATTTTTAACTTCTTGAGGAATCTCCATACTGTTTTCCAGAGTGGCTATACCAGATTGGATTCCTACCAACAGTGTAAGAGGGTTCCCCTTCTCCCCCATCCTCACCAACATTTGTTGTTTCCTGTGTTGTTAATTTTAGCTATTCCGACAGGTGTGGTTTTGATTTGTATTTCCCTGATGATGAGTGATGTTGAGCATCTTTTCATATGCCTGTTGGCCATCTATATGTCTTCTTTGGAAAAATGTCTATTCATGTCTTCTGCCCGTTTCTTAACTGGATTACTTGTCTTTTGGGTGTTGCGCTAAATAAGATCTTTATAGATCTTGGATTCTAGCCCTTTATCTGATATGTCATTTGCAAATATCTTCTCCCATTCCATAGGTTGCCTTTTAGTTATGTTGACTGTTTCCTTTTTATCTTGATGAAGTCCCAATAATTCATTTTTGCTTTTGTTTCCCTTGCCTTTGAAGACGTGTCTAGCAAGTCCCTGTGGCCAAGGTCAAAAAGGTTGCTGCCTGTGTTCTCCTTTAGGATTTTGATGGATTCCTGTCTCACATTTAGGTCTTTCATCCATCTTGAGTTTATCTTTGTGATTGGTGCAAGAAAATGGTCCAGTTTCATTCTTCTACATGTGGCTATCCAATTTTCCCAACACCGTTTGTTGAAGAGACTGTCCTTTTTCCATTGGATATTCTTTCCTGCTTTGTCAAAGATTAGTTGGCCATAGAGTTGAGGGTCCATGTCTGGGCTCTCTTTTCTGTTCCATTGATCTATGTGTCTGTTTTTTGTGCCAGTACCATACTGTCTTGATCATTACAGCTTTGTAATAAAGCTTGAAGTCCGGCATTGTGATGCCACCAGCTTTGATTTTCTTTTCAACATTCCTCTGGCTATTCGGAGTCTTTTCTGGTTCCAGACAAATTTTAGGATCATTTGTTCCAGCTCTGTGAAAAATGTTGATGGCATTTTGATAGGGATGGCATTGAATGTGTAGATTGTTCTGGGTAGCACAGACATTTGAACAATATTTATTCTTCCAATCCATGAGCATGGTACATTTTCCCATTTCTTTGTGTCTTCCTCAAGTTCCCTAGTAAGTGTTCTATAGTTTTTAGAGTACAGATACTTTACCTCTTTGATTAGGTTTATTCATAGGTATCTTATGGTTTTTGGTGCAATTGTAAATGGGATCGATTTCTTAATTTCTCTCTCTTCTGTCTCATTGTTAGTGTATAGAAATGCAACTGATTTCTGTGCACTGATTTTAAATCCTGCCATTTGCTGAATTTCTGTATGAATTCTAGCAATATTAGGGTGGAGTCTTTTGCATTTTCCACATAAAGTATCATGTCATCTGCGAAGAGTGAGTTTGACTTTTTTGCCAATTTGAATGCCTTTTATTTCTTTTTGTTGTCTGATCGCTGAGGCTAGACCTTTTAGTACTATGTTGAACAACAGTGGTAAGAGTGGGCATCCCTGTCGCCTTCCTGACCTTAGGGGAAACGCTCTGTTTTTCCCCATTGAGAATGATATTTACTGGGGCCTTTCATATATGGCTTTTATGATATTGAGGTATGTTCCCTCTATCCCTACACTGTGGAGAGATTTAATTAAGAAAGAATGCAGTATTTTATCAAATGCTTTTTTCTGCATCAATTGAGAGGATCATATGGTTCTTGTCCTTTCTCTTATTAATGTGATGTATCACACTGATTGATTTGTGAATGTTGAACCACCCTTGCAACCCAGGAATAAATCCCACTTGGTCGTGGTGAATGATCCTTTTAATGTACTGTTGAATCTTATGGGCTAGTATCTCGGTGAGAATTTTGGCATCCATGTCATCAGGGATATTGGTCCATAATTCTCCTTTTTGGTGGGGTCTTTGTCTGGTTTTGGGATCAAGGTAATAGTGGCCTAATAGGACAAGTTTGGAAGTTTTCCCTCCATTTCTATTTTTTGGAACAGCTTCAAAAGAATAGACATTAGTTCTTCCTTAAATGTTTGGTAGAATTCCCTTGTGAAGCCATCCAGCCCTGGACTCTTGTTTGTTGGGAGATTTTTGATTACTGCTTCAATTTTGTTACTGGTTATGGGTCTGTTCAGGTTTCCTATTTTTTCCTGTTTCAGTTTCCTAGAAACTGTTTCTAGGAATGTATCCATTTCTTCCAGATGGCCTAATTTGTTGGCATATAGTTGCTCATAATATATTCTTAAAATTGTTTGTATTTCCTTTGTGTTGGTTGTGATCTCTCCTCTTTCATTCATGATTTTATTAATTTGGGTCCTTTCTCTTTTCTCTTCGATAAGTCTGGCTAGGGGTTTATCGATCTTATTAATGCTTTCAAAGAACCAGCTTCTAGTTTCGTTGATCTGTTTTACTGTTCTTTTAGTTTCTATTTCATTGGTTTCTGTTCTAATCTTTATTATTTCTCATCTCTTGCTTGGTTTAGGCTTTATTGCTATTTTTTCTCCAGCTCCTTTAGGTGGAAGGTTAGCTTGTGTATTTGAGACTTTTCCAGTTTCTTGAGACAGGCTTGTATTGCTATGTACTTCCCTCTTAGGATCGCCTTTGCTGTATCCCAAAGGTTTTGAACAGTTGTGTTTTCATTTTCATTTGTTTCCATGAATTTTTAAAATTCTTCTTTAATTTCCTGGTTGACCCATTCATTCTTTAGTAGGATACTCTTTAACCTCCAAGTATTTGAGTTCCTTCCAAATTTCCTCTTGTGATTGAGTTCAAGTTTCAAAGCATTGTGGTCTGAAAATATGCATGGAATAATCCCAATTTTTGGTACTGGTTGAGACCTGATTTGTGACTCAGTATGTGATCTATTCTGGAGAATGTTCCATGTGCACTCAAGAAGAATGTGTATTCTGTTGCTTTAGGATGGAGTGCTCTGTATATATCTGTGAAGTCCATCTGGTCCAGCGTGTCATTAAAAGCCCTTGTTTCCTTGTTGATTTTCTGCTTAGACAATCTGTCCATTGCTGTGAGTGGGGTGTTAAAATTCCCCTACTATTTTGTATTATTATCAATGTATTTCTTTAATTTGGTTATTAATTGGTTTATATAACTGGCTGCTCCCAAGTTAGGTGCATAAATATTTATAATTATTAGACCTTCTTGTTGGAAAAACCCTTTAAGCATGATATAGTATTCCCCTTCATCCCTTACTACAGTCTTTGGTTTAAAATTTATTTTGTCTGAGATGAGGATTGCTACTCCAGCTTCTTTTGATGTCCATTAA